ATAAACTTCTTTGATATTTTTGTGGCTTCAGAGGCATTGTTTCACTTCTTGTATTCAAACAGAATTACATGAGAAATGTGTATATCGTTGTGTGCCATCACTATAAGGGGTTAGAGTATACTAAACTTTACACATTATATAGGCTACACTAATGTGATGTTTATGCGGTTCGTTTAACTATTATACTTGATGTATGTTTTTGGGGGGTGGTTAATGAAAGTGTTCCAAAATGTGACATTAATTTCTTGATGACCTAATACATTGATAATAAAGCAGTTTAATTAAATTTTGAATGTAACTCTGTAAAAAGCCGTAATGTGCACACTTTAACCTACCTGTAGCGAGAAGGTTAATGGGTACACAATTCTCAGAAAAAAAAAGAGAACATACAGGTTCCTGACCTGGTGAAACGAATGTAAACACTTCATGGTGCAGAAAAAAAAGTGAAGGATCAAACTGATCACATCTTGAACAAAGAGACAGATATCATCAAACAACAAATGCATCAAATATTCATGTGATAACTAGAAGAGAAGGTTAAAGTGCAAAGAAAAGCAGCATCAAACAGTATGTCCACAAAACAAAAACTGGTCTAAGATAAAGATCCTGACAAACAGATATAATGAAAGAGAATATCCAATCTCCTGGGTAAAGTAGCTTCCAGTTAGTGAAAAAAAAGTTAACAGGAAACTAAAAGAGATGATTACCTAGAAAGGAAACATCCACTATATATATATAAAACTGACCATCTATGGATGATTAAAAAGTGTCATGAAGAGGTCACGCAAAACATGACTAGACACACTATAACCTCTCAGAGGATTGGTGGAAGAGCCTATACAGAAACAACTTTTATGATTATGAAAATAAAATCTCCATAGCAAAGGTTTAGAGTTGATCAGAAAGACAACTTTTGGGATAAAAGAGAAACGTGTCTAGGCACGGTGGACTATAAAACACCCAAACATAACTGGAAGTCAGGAAAAATGATGGAAGCTGGTGGAATGAAAGAGATGTAGTAAAACTTTGTCCTACAAACTGTTTTAGTTGTCTGTAACAAAATATACAAGTTTTTGAAAAGGCTGGGTTGTGACGAACAATATAAAACTAAAGTTGTTTGTTAAAAAAAATAGTTCAAGCCCATCTCTGCATTCAACTTGAATACTATCTCAAAATAATGTACCTCAGTTTTGAATGTATGAACATCAACAAGCAGAGAAAAATTTAGAAAAGAGTACAAAATACCTTTCTCGGTTTTCATATTCTTCTAGTATGAGTTCTTCTCTCACGTTTTCTTCTCTTGTGCGATACTCTGAAGATTCCTCTCTCACTTCTTGCTCTATATAACACACAAAACATTTACCTACCTAACATATACTCTGACTTACAGAATGAATTGAAGGATTTTTCCACAATTTTAATTTGGTCAATTTTTATAAATGTATTAACATAGCATTATTAAAAGGAGAGAATGCTCCTCTCATATGAATAGTGAATGAAAGTTCCAAGCATTTGCATAATAGAGAAATTAAACCTTCCAGAATAATTATTTTGTAGTCACCAATCACCACTTACTATCATAGATCTAACAACATTTGAAAGAAGGATTAGTGTTCTGAGATAATGATACATTTTACAACAAGATTGACATTTTAAGGTAATAAGATTTTTCCTTTCAAACTTATCAAAATATTAATTTAACTTTATGTGCATGGGTGGGGCTAAAAGTTCACAAGTCACAGCCTTTTAAAGAGTATCATTCAACATGGTATTATGTATTTGATTTCAGAGTTATAAACAATTCATTTTACCATATGTTGCTAATTTAGCCACAGTTCATAGTCAAAAGACAGTAAATACCAGATACAATATGCAAGGATACCTAAGAAAACTGTAGATGTGCATTATGGAGGTTCTAAAGATTATGCAAATACAATATGCAAACTGTATGATGGACAAAAGTATTTTCATTCTTTACATGAACATCACCTTTGCACAAAGACTTGTCAGTATCCAAGTCTAATTGACAATGGGAATTCAAAGACATATCTTGAGTACAAATACATGTGTAACACATCTGATTTTTAGTGTACGACACACTTGTACATTTGACTAAAAGCTTGCTGAATTTTGTGTAGATATGCAATATCGGGTCAATCCAATGGACTGACTTCATGCACATTCAGTTAAGTTTCTATGATTCAGTGTAGCATTAAAAATTCTTTTTATCCTGTTATCCACTATATATATTGAGTTCACATGAAATTCCTTAGATAATTAATGTTGTTTTTCTGACTTGGAAAACATTACCAATTTCAAATGTAGTAAAAGAGAGAGAGAGGAAGAACTTTTCTTAAATTCTATTACTTACTAAAAAACACCTCAAAACTTGTGAAAAGTAAAGCTCCTGGATCTGAAATGAATTTTAAAAGGTTTAAAGAAGCTGAATAGTAAGGCTTACAAGTTATCAATCAAATTTAATCTCTGCATAGCTGTTGACCCTATAACCTAATCATGTTGAAAAAAAGGTTATCAAATAAAAAAGTTATGATTTTTCTACGCTGAAAATAGATTTCCGATAGATACTTACCTCTTTTCACACAAAAGCTTTTCTCAATCTTCTTCTGCCCTCTAATGCATTACAATTTTTTTTCTCACTTGACTCACTAGCCTTTATACCCCCTCAGTTCAAGCTGCTCATTTAGCATGCACAGTGCATACAACGGCCCTCCACTAATAGGAGCACAAAACACGTTCCTTGACCAGCTGGCTCCCTCTGTATTACATTTTGTGTACCTCACTTTTGAGATTAGGCATACCAGAAAATAGAGAACACCGGAAGTGGGG